GGCAACAAACTAGGTTTGCAAACCTCTTTTCTTATGGTAGTTTAACATGTTATGGAAAGGATGTGCTAATGACACAAGGGCGACTGTGGGTGACAGCTACCTACTGCAATAGCTGTGAGGAGACATACTAAAGGGGTTAAAATATGGTGCCTGAGATAAGTCAGTTGTTATTCTGGAGAGATAAATACATCTTTGAAAAACAGAATTAATGAAGCCTGGCTGCAAAAGTATGCCTGTCACATAGCCTTTTTCTTCTCCCCTCCTCAGTCTGATATCTAAAAAATGCTGAGATCATTAACCTACCCTTTGGGGGGAGGACAACACTAGGCCTTCTTTAAAATTTTCATTTAAGTGTTATCTCTTAAGAATCCAGGCTATGAATAATGGCACTGATGTCATTATGTGCAATATCTCCAAACTTGAAACATGAGTTTTGGGTGGAAGGATGCAGGCTGTGGTCCTGTTGCTGCCTAAGAGAAATGAACAGGCTGTGGGAGAAAATTTTCAATCTGCCCTGTTGTGAAGTACCCACCTATCCAGTGGTAGGAAAACACTGTGAGAAGGATCTCCAGACCTGGCATTTAAGTTCTTCCTGATTTGGGATTTCTCTTTGCTGAGAAAATTGAGTTTTAATGTTGGCCCTAGTGACCCTGTTACAGAAAAAGACTTAAGAGTTCTTGGATGCGTTTCACTCAGACTGGTGGGGCAATTTTGGAAATACCGAAGTCTGTGTTCACCTGTGTTCAATTCTTGTTTCTGATCAGGGAGAAGAAGGTATTTGGGGCAGAAGTTTCTGAGCTTTATTGGAATACTCCAGGTACTGTGCAGAAAAGAAAGCAATAACCATCTGTGGTGGTTTTACCGTACTGGGCAGCTAAACCCCACAACCGCTCTCTCACTCCCCCTCCTTTAGATGAGGAGGGGGAGAAGTAAAGCAAAGAACAACTCACGGGTTGAGATAAGGATAGTTTAATTAAAGGGAAATAATTATAATAATTAAATAAAGACTACCATGAACTAACAATTTAACTAAGGGGAAATAAAAAGGGAAAGGGGAAAGGGAGGGGAAAAAAGGAAAATAAAAAGAAGGGAGGAAAACAAACAAACAAAATAAATGAAGGCTATATGGAAGTGCAGAGGAAAGAAATTACTCTCTACTTCCCACAAATGAGCGATGATTGACCACGTCCTTGAAGCAAGGCCTCAACGCACGCAGCCGGTGTTCGAGAGGAGGACCGACGTCTTCCAAACGAGAGCCCACCCTAGGTCTATGCAGGACATATCCCCTGGTTATGTCCTGCATAGACCTAGGCTGATGAGACAGGGGAACACCTGGTCTGAGAGTATTTTCTTGGAGCTGAGTACTGAGGCACACAAGCCTCAGTGAGTTCAGTCTAAATGTGCTTTGTGTCAATTACTGGATATTGCAATCCTGCAGTTGTGCTCAGTGTATGAGTCCTGTTGCTTTTTGCAGGCTTAATAACATTTGCAGATCCCTCTCTGCCTCCACAAACTCACAGCACTCTGTGCTTTCCCCAGATCTTTCTTTCAAGATGGATCGCCCACTGCCATTTCAACCCATCAAAACTTCATTTTCAGAAGGATAAACCTGATGCATTTGGGAATCACTTTTTTAATAAACATCAGTAGACCAGAGGAATAAAATGGATGCTAAGAAAGCAGAAAAACAACAGCAAGAAATCCCTTGCAAAAATAACAGGTGCATTAAATTGTGTGGGGGTATGTAGGTATATATGTAAGACAATAATACATGAACCAGGTGGCACTCTACCTCATTAGCAATCCACTTTTTCTTGCCAAACAGACTTTGGTGAAATTCCCTGAGAGGTTTCCCAGAAACTCATAAAATTAGTAGTAAACAACACTTCTTGGGGGTTGGGAAATATTCTCTGAGTCTGCCTAGCATCCCAACCCCCTTCTGAAGTTTCCTCTGTTTTGCAAAGCATCCAGAAGACATTAGAAAGAAATTAAGGAACAAAGGAGGGGGAATAAGAAAGGTACATTCAGAATCCACAGTAATCCACTTCACATTGAAAGTATAAGAATGATTGCTTGGACAGTGATAGTATCTTGATGTATAAAATGGGTTTGTTACTTAACTCTGGTGATTCACGCTGTCAGGCACAGGGATGAGGCAGCTGCCAAATTTGATGCCAGGAAGGAATTTTCTCTCCCAGAACAGATTGGCAGGGAATTTACAAAGCTGATGGGTCAATAACAAGGGTCAAATATGGTTATGATGATTATGTGGACAGGCTGGGGTGACATCCCGGAGCATAGCAGCACTATCATGACTCAATGGTACCAGGCATGCCCCAAAAATCAGTGCACAAACCTTTAGTCTTTTCTCCCTCAGCTTCATTAAACCTGTCCACAAAGGGATGACTTTGGTGGACCAGGTGATTAGATGAAGAGCAGGGTAGTGACTCTATTCATATTTTTCACATCATCCGTTTCATCTATGTTCCTAAAAAGGGCTTAATTGAAGCTCTGTGAGGCTTAGCTGTTGGCTGTTTGGTTTTGTTGTGTTATTTTTCCTGTTTTTAAAGAGTGTTTAAAGAACATGTTCCAGCTGCCTGGAAGGAAAAAGCCAGAAAGAAAAAGAGAACAAAGGAAAGCAGTGGAGATATTTAATTGAGATAATTTTAGCTGTTCTAAATGGCACAGGCCGTGTGCACAAACATTTGCAGAGAGAAGGAGATGAGGAAGGAAGAGGGAAGAAGTTTTGTGCTGCACAATAAGTCCCCAAATTAAGGGGAAGAAGGTGCCCTGTCAGATATTGACAGGATCCTACCTAGTAGTTCTTGGGTAACTGATTTCAGAGCCTCATCCAGGCCTGGCAGGATAAGACAGGGAAACCATTTCTTTATGGGTCTGAGTCCCACAGACAGGCACTGTCAAGATTTCAGAAAGGGGATTGCCATCCTGGATGATATGAATTTAGATCCTTCCTTGGTCTCAGCTCTTGTGTGCTAGGTGAACACCTGAGGAGGTCCTTCCTGGTGGGGAGAAGACTTGGTTGCTCCTTGTGGGATCCTTATGTTTTGTGTGTGATTAAACAGAAACAAGCAGAGAGATAGCGTTAACTTTCCTGTGCGATATGGGAAATATAGCCTGAGGTTTATATACTGAAATCTGAGACTGCCAAGCCTGTAACTCAGTCTGGTCCAATGGATATTTGGTGAGTTGTCTGAAGCAGAAAACCTTTTGCAGCAGATGCAAGTTAGAGCATAGCTTGCTATGTGGAGGTCAGAGCTCCACAGATATGAAGAAGTCACAGTTCATATCCTAGTCAAAAGAGATATTTTGGACCTGGTTTTCCACAGGTCCTCAGAAGGCTGCCTTACCCCTAGACAATGTTGCACTTGTTGTTGATAAAGTGAGTGATAAACATGCCCTCTATGTCTAGACTAAGACTATGGGTGGGGGTTGGTGCTTCCTGAACTGCTGGCAGAAACACGGAGATACATCAGTTTAACAACTGTTAAACATCTATTTAAAATCTGCTTCTATTTAACATCTTTGTCAGTGACATGGACAAAGATCAAGTGCACCCTTAGCAAGTTTGCTGATGACACCAAGCTGTGTGTTATGGTCAACACATAGGAGGGAAGGGCATCCACAGGGGCTTGGGCAGGTCTGAGAGGTGGGCTTCTGTGAACCTCATGGGGTTCAACAAGGCCAAGTGCAAGGCCCTGCAGCTGGGCTGGGGAATCCCAAGCTCACATACAGGCTGGGCAGAGAGTGGATTGAGAGTAGCCCTAAGGAGAAGGACCTGGGATGTTGGTTGATGAGAAGCTTGGCGTGAGTCAGCAATGTACGCCTGAAGGCCATAAAGACAGCCATATCCTGGGCTGCATCAAAAACACATGGCCAGCAGGTTGAAGGAGGTGATTGTCCCTTCTGCTCTGCTCTTGTGAGACCTCACATGAATCCCTCAGCAAAAGAAGGGCATGGACCTGTAAGAGTGGGCCCAGGGGAGGCCACAAGGATGATCAGAGGGCTGGAGCACCTCTCCTGTGAAGACAGGCTGGAGAAGAGAAGGCTCCAGGGAGGCCTTCCAGTGGCCTTCCAGTACCTAAATGGGGCCTACAGGAAATCTGGGGAGGGACTCCCTTTATAAAAGAGTGTGGTGATAGGAGAAGGAGCAAAGGCTTTATACTTAAAGAGGGTGAAGCACTGCCACAGGCTGCCCAGAGGAGCTGTGGATGCCCCATCCCTGGAAGTGTTTAAGGCCAGGCTGGATGGGGCTTTGGGCAACCTGATTTATTGGGAAGTGTCCCTGTCCATGGCAGAGAGGTTGGAATTAGATGATCTTGAAGGTCCCTTCCAAGACAAACAATTCTGTGATTCTTTACCCTGATCTGATTCCTTCGCCCTCACATGGTTTAATGTAGCAGACAAGCAGTGCCTTTCACATCCATCACATACAAACATGGAGGGGGCTGGAGAAGGATTTTGGAGAGCAAGCAGTGGATGGAGAGGAAAGGGCCACATCTCTTCATTATGGGGGACAAAACACTCCAAATCTTGAGATTTTCCCCTCTGTCACAAGCTCCCTAACCACTAGCATCCCTCCAGAAAGCCTTGCTGTCTCTGGGCAAAGCAGTGCTACAGGGACCCTCTCTCCCTCCCTGATGTACAGCTTGGGGAGAAGAAAAGAAAGCTGTAACCCACACCGTGACAGGCACCACGCCTGGGGAGCCATGCCCACACCATCCTTATTTCAGCATTGTCACCCTGTCCCACTTTCTCCCCCTGAAAGCTCACCTAGCAAGCTGTCTCCCTTCCCCACTTGCAGGAAGGTGGAGGGGGAAAGGCAGGAGCGTGCAGCAGTTCCCGTCTCCTTCTCATGCAGCACTGCTCATCCCTTCTGCCTGCTCCCACTCGCCCCTTCTCCCCCACACACCCACCCACCTCCATGTCTCATCCAGGGGCGGCTCGGGGTCCCTCGGGCAGCCGCGGGGATGAATACTAACCTCTGCCAGGCTGCTCTTTAAGGAACCTTGTAACATGGAGCTGTTGCATTTCCCTCCCCTTCCTCCCCGCAGCCAGCCTCGCCTGCTGAATAACCTGACAGAAAAAAAAAAAAAAAAAGGGGGTGCGAGGTGGGGAATCCAGGCCACCGCGTCCACCCCCGCAGCGTGGGCTGATTTTGTGTGGAAAAGGGCAGCGCTGAGGCTGCTGGCGGTGTCAAGCGGGGAGAAACGGTGGCAATCAGCAGAGGAGCAGCGGCTCGGTCAGCCAGCCGCCCCTGCATCTCCCCCCAGATTCTTTTCTCTCTCTGTTGCAATGTTCCTATGAGGCCCCGTGGAGGGCTAAATCCTATTGTGCTGGGAGGGAGCTGCCACCGCCTCCCCAGCATCTGCTGGATTGCACACAGGGGCCCTGGATGAGGGCAGCACTGCTGCTCCCAGCCCCATAGCCCTGTATCACGACCATCGCTCCCCAGGTCACATCTGAGCAATATTCACCCTCCTGCACTCAGGGACCTTCCCCTAAACTAATGCTTAAAGAACCCTGGCTGCAATGCAGCCCATGATTTTCTTTTTTTTTTTTTCTTTTTCTTTTTTTTTTATTTAATATATGATTATTTTATATTTATTTGTTTGTTTATTCTTAATATGTTTGTTGCTTGTTTATTCTTTAATATGTTTGTTTGTTTGTTTGTTTTTCCTATTTTTTTTTTCTTTTTTGGTCATTCAGATGTCAGGCAAACCTATGGGGAACAAATCTTTAGTATATCTCTTGGCGGTCTTCTTTCTGGATGGATCCAGCCCTCCTGAGAGTTAACCTCCACAAGGAGAAAGGAGGTTTAATACATTCATGTAGGGAGACACTAGAAGGGAAAAGATTGGTGATCACCTCTATCATGCGTTTGCTTTTTATTCCTGTGTCCTTAAAGTGAGTCTCCTTCCCTGTCCATGTCCTCCTCTGTCTTAGATCAGAGAGAACCACATGTGGACCCCGCTGCCCCTGCCCCAAATTAACCTTCCAGGTCTCAAGCTCCAAATATGACCTACACATACACCTTGAGGCAATTCCCCTGTGAATGCCCCCAGGCACACACCTTTCTCAGCGCAGAGATGTGAAGTCTCTGCAATGTTTTGCTCCCATGCACCCATGATTTCCATCCTGAGACCACCAAACAGTTGTGGAGGTGGTGGTGCACTGGGGAGCTCTGGCACCATCCCAATGTTTTTGGGGAAAATGGAAAGCTCCTAGAGAGCCTTAAGCAACAGCTCACTCCCCAGCCACTGGTAGTCCTGATCTAATATGTTTTTAGTGATGTTTGGGGCCTCGTACATTCAGAAAGAAGTAATGAGTACACTCTGCTCCTTGCTTCTCACGTTCCTCATCTCCCCTGAGCCTCCCTGCTGTCCCTAATGATCCATCTCTCATTTACAGGGACTTAGAGAATGGAAATGGAAAAGCTGCTTGAATTAGGCTGGGATGAGGATGAGCTGGACTTCATTCCCCTCAGAAGTGACCTAACGTCACCCTTTCTTTTGCTAGTGACGCAGACTCTTCGACACCATGCGAGGCAGCTGCCCTGCTGTTATCCTGAGCCAAGGGGACACAACTTATACACTGACTCAAACTGCGGCTCCCTGTGGCTAGGAGAGATTAGCAGCTGAAAGCAAGGATGCTTAAGGGAAAGCCTTTGTCAACAACAGTGCCTGGAGGAGAAGAAAGTAAGGGAAGTAGCCTAAAAGAAGAAAAGCAAAAGGAAAAATGAAAAAAAAAAAAATCAAGTAACTGCTTCAAGATACAATTGCTGAAAATAGGTAAGTGGTGGTCTAGTTTATGGTCTTATGGTAGCATGGCTGTGAGAGCAGCTAGCTGACAGATATCAGCATGCAAAGCTCTGGGGACAGGGGTTTAGCCAGGAACAGCAACCTGGCATCCTGCTGTGACCATGGAAAGGTCTGAGACCCTTTGGTGTCCTTTGGTAGATCCCACTGCAGAGCCAGATGCATGAGAGCATCCTGTACCCCACCATCAAAGGAGGATGTGGCAAGGAAATCACTCTCCAAGCATTAGAAGAAACAAGCAAGTAAACCATGTACCCCAAGATGAGTTGAAATAATGCATTTAACTTTTCCTCTAGTTTCAGGAATGTCCTAGCAAGGACATGACCTGGGTTGATAGCCCTACACCAAACTAGGCAGAGAATAACTTTGAACCTGCCCAGGGTGTTGTCTGAAGACACCTATGTGGCCAAATCCTACATGGTCTGGGGTGGGCAGCTTTGAAAATTCTTTGAGATTTCAGTCTGAGTGAGGGCAAATAAAGCATTTAGGGGGGTTTCTGTGTACCTACATGTCTATTTGGTAAGAGAACATCAAACTCATCCTTCAGAGAAGAGTATTTTTGGATGAATAGGAGGTCAATTCTCTAATTTTGCAGATGAAAGGATTTGGACTCAAACACAGAAACAAATCCTGTTTAGTTGGTTCCCAGTATTAATCTGGAGCTCTCTAACACAGGTTAGGGACATCAGCCAGAGGGAAGTCAATAAGGGATTTGAGAATGAGGGTAGTATGCAGGTGTCCAAACGGCTTTTGTTGCCATTGCACATCTTGGAGAATTCCTAAAATAACTTGTCCAAAGAGGCTCTGCGCCGTCGAATCTGGTCCTACTTTCTCTGAGCACTCCTGAGCTGACTTTTGGGTTCCTTCTCAAGGGACAGATCTGTTGCCACTCATGGAAGGGATGGGAATATGCAATGTGATGGGAAAAAGGGGTTGTGGTGGCTTCTTGATGGGACTGGTTGGTAACAACCGCATCAAGGAATTATTTCTGTTGCAGACCCCTAGAAGGATCCAGTGGCTGGGTGCTGGGATCACTGGGGGAGAAAGGTCAGCAACACGTGAAGTCAATCTTACCTCAGGAATCCCCCATTGCTTCTCCCTCCCCACATCCCATAGCTGAGAGTCTGCAGCTCAGAAATCTTCCAGGGAGTCAGCCAAGCTCCTCTGGTGGAAAACCAGGCTCCTATCACCCCAAATGCCCTTCCCACTTGCACTAGTCAAGGAGGAAAATCTGTATAGGGGCTGGGAAGGTGAAAGAGGAGCTTAACGCAGTTTTTCCCCATGTGGGAACAGAACTGTGTCTCCAAGGGAGCTGGAGTAGGATCAGGCACGATGTGGAGCAGTCTCAGCCACCTTCTTCCTCATCGACGTCCCTCATGTCTGCACAGCTTCCCCTGGTGGTTTGAAGGCACAACCATCTGTCACCAACAAGGGCAATGTCCCATTTTCCCGTGTGTTTGCGATCTCTCAGTGCTTCTCTACCATCACTAGACCTCGTCTGACCCCACGCCTAGATAAAAATGGTAAAGCAGATCCAAGCCTGCAGGGGAGGGTGGGACCAGCTCCCAGAACCACAGGTACCCCTTGGATCAGTGTGGATGTGTCGTCCTGGCAGACAGTGAGGAGCTCATATCCCCCCTTGAGACACCGTGCTGGGAGGAGAACCAGGGCTGTGAGCTTTGCAGCCACCCCACCACTTTTCTTTATTTAGCAGACCTGTGATCCGCAGGGTTTACTGCTGAGGAGGAGTGAAAAAAGCACTAAATTCAGAAACTTTTACTAGATCGCTCAGAGAGGGCACCCTGAAGGGAGACAGGGTGGGAAAGAATCAAGAGCGAGGGCAAATGTGGTCCAGATTCAGCTCTCAGCCACGTGGCATAAAGGCAGCTGGGGTTTTCATCATAAACCAGGTCTGAATCAGGCCTTTAGGTATGGAGATTTCTTGTTTTGCTAGCTTCAAACGTACACTACCCGCTCATCAGTGATATGCATGGGAGGAAATTGAAGTTAATTTGGAAATGTCTATTTGTGCTGACCCTGTGAGGGTTCTAACAGCCAACACCAAAGTTCAGGATTGTACAGTGAAAATACTGGTGCCTTCCTTGACTTTCTTGATTTAATTTCAGGCAGACTTCTGGAGGTAAATGCAGCACACAGAGGCGCTCATTAACATTTCCTCTACCCGGTTAGGAAACAAAAATAACAAAGATCCCATTAAATAAAAGGGTGAAAAAAAAGAAGGCAGAAGATATTTTTAGTCTAAAAACAAAGCATTCATCCCCACGAAGGAGGGCTTTTCAGAGGAAAAGAAAGCGGAGAGAACTTGCGCAGTCCTCCCCACCAGAAGGAGTGGCACTAATAATAATTATTATGATTTTTGTTAATATTGATAGCAGAGTGCCCTCAGCTCTCTGCTTGTTTCCCGACCTTCCCAGCATGTGACGTGTGGGTCCCAGCCGTGGAGGACAATGGGTGGCTGCGCCGGGCGGGCAGGAACAATGAAGCCACTGACGCGAACCGTGTTTTGAAAGCGAAGCTCTGCGTTGTGAGAGCCAGCTTCAGTGCAATAAAGTGTTCCAGGGATGGAGGTGGTTGAATAGGGACATGTGGTGTAAATAAAACGTGCTATTATTATTGTTTTATATATATGTACATATATATATATTAAAAAGACCAACACTTTGGTTTCTCTTTGTTTTCTTTCCTTCTTGAGGATTTTGCTAGCGGAGAAACAAGTGGCTGGCCAGCTTTTTGTGGTAACCTATAGGAGGATCGATAGGGATTGAAAGGGCATGGAGGCGGAGGGGAGGGATTGTATTTTCTTTCTTTCCTTTTTTTTTTTTTTTCTTTCTAGAAAGGGGAAGCATTTCTGGAAGTGAAAACGAAAATTCTAGCACAGCAGCTATAGGTTAACACTGAAAATCCCTTGTTCACCGGTGGAAGAAATGAGTCCCTGCAAGGGTATGGGGTTAATTGCACACTTGTCTTCAGACTTCTAACCTTAGACTCTTCACACAGTCCTTGGTTAAGGATGGGGCCCTCCAGACAGTGATTCAGAGAAGGAAAGCAGTGCACAGAATGGTGTATAACCAGGGAGGGACCCTGGCATTGCAGCAGGTTAACACAGCACCCAGCAGAGTTTTTCTGAGGATGACACCACAGGACTGCACAACTCTGATGCCCCATACACTTCCCCAATCCCTGAGATCCTCCAGTTACACTGACCCACCTGGCTCACAGCTCAGGCTCATCCCCCCAAAATGGCATGTCCTGCCATGAGATAGAATCGGGAAGGCAAAACACCCATGCAGATAGGGCAGCAAAGGGATGTGAATTCCACCAATTTTGGGTGCAGTGTATCCTCAGCAAAGCTTTGGTGTGATGGCACCATGGAAGGGTGCAGTGCTGGCTATGGCTCTGTGACCCCTTTTTCTGGTCCCCCTCCCTGCAGTGGGGTTTTCTGTGGCTGCTCACTGCCATGTGCTCCTCTGCCTGCCTGTAATTAGTCTGTCAGCTTTTCTCTTTCTCTTTCCTCATGTTTTGGGCCTGATCCTAATCTCCTGTGCCTTAACGCTCTTCAGGAAGCTCTGTAGAGACAACCCACATTGGCAGCATCCCTGCTGAGCTGAGATGTGGCTTTTGCTGCTTTCTCTCCATTCCTTCTTTCTGCTCAGCTGTTTTGGAGGAAATTATCCCAGCTCAGTACTCCCCCTTTCCCTTCCTCATTTGCCACCTCTCTTTTCTTTCTTTTTGCTCCCTCTTGTCTCCAAATTCTCATGACCACCTGAAGCACCCCAGACCACATCCTCCTTCAGCCACCCCGCTGCTGATTCCTCTGAAATTAGCTGCCTGAAATTAGCCAGACAGCGAATTTCAACAGGGGTCTGTCTGTCTCCTTGTGAAGGCATAGAATAAAGACGCTGTGGCAATGAAATCCTCCTTCCCAGCCTGCCCCAGTCCTTAGCTAGTGTTCCTCCATGCCCATCTGTCTGTCTGTACCATGAAATTGTCTGTCTGCACCATGAAATCGCCTGTCTGCCTCAGATTGCCTTTCCTTGTCAGCTCTCAGTGCTCTCCCTCCTCCCTTCTCTTCCGGCTCCCCTCTCTCCTCCTCCTCTACCCACGCACTCTACTTTAATTAGAAGTACAATGAAAATTCTTATCACTATGTCTTAATCAGCAAGACATTCCCCAGCAGGTCCAGAAGGAAAACCCCCGTTCCTCCTCCCCTCTCCGGTCTCCCCCACCACCACCCCCGCAGAGATTAGGAGGGGAGCTCGGTGGAAAGGGTGCAGAAGGAGGCGAAGCTAGAGACCTGGAAAAGCTGGAGGAAAGGGCCAGCAGAAACCTTCTGATGTTCAACAAGGATACGATATTTAGAAGTCCTATACCTGGGAATAAAGTGTCCCTGGCAGTGACTCACTGGCTGGGGCTCAAAAATGGAGCTGGGATTGCTGGGGGACAGCTAGCTGAGCATGATCCAGCAGTGTGTCCTGGCAGCATAAAAGGGTATCCTGGGCTGAGGGAACATAAGCACAGCCAGGAGATCAATGGAAGTCATTAACAACCTCTACTCGAGATGTATTAGACTATTTCTATCTGTTTCAACCACCTTCGGGCCCCTCAAGTACAAGACATCAATCAAGAGGACCAAGTTCAGCAGAGGACAGCAAGGTGACCAGGGATGGAGCACTTGCCAGAACCTGGTGTGGGACCTGCTTGTTCCTCCTGGAGAAGGGATGGCTTTGGGGGGGGAACCAAACATTGGTTCCCCTGCATCTGTGGGGAGGTTATCAAGGAAGAAAAGACTTCACAGAGGTGGTTGGTGAGAGGGCATAAACTCAAGCAAGATACATCTGGATGTAAGGAGGAATGTTGTCCATCTGAGGACAGTCAGAAGTGAATCAGGTTGCCCAAAGAGCTCCATATAATTCCTGTCCCTTGGGCTTTCAAGATCTGTCTGGATAAGGTCCTGAGCAACCTCATCTGACCCTGTAACTGACCCTTCTAGGAGTGGGAATTTGGGCTAGAGACCTCCCGTGGTGCCTTCCAGCCTTAATTATCCTGTGACCTGGCCTAAGTGTCAAGTAATGCCATTCAGACCTTAATGAATCCCCCCACTATGAAAACTAAGGGAGCAGAAAAAAAGATTTATCAGGAGCTGGAAAGAGACAGATGTGGTGGAGTTTTCACAGCCAATTCATCCCAGACTCTGGCATCTGATGGGACAAACTGAGGTTGAAACCATGTCTCCCTACAAAGCTAAATCCAGCCTATAACCTGTCCCCATCCACCATCAGTCTCTTAAGGGTCATTTCTGGGGCTCCTGGGTGAAAAAAATTCTGAAAAATAATGTTACTTGAATCCAGAGAATCACAGATATCACAGTCCCTCCCAGTTCCTGTGATCTCTTAAAGGTGAGGCAGATTTAAGGAGGATTCTCTGGGGTATAGGGACCACAGCAGAAAAGGCTTCAGACCTGTCCCAAACCCTCAGATGATCCACATTTGACCCTTTCTAAACACACAGATGCACAAACCTCTCATGCTCAGGAAATCTGGGTGAAAGTGGAACAGTAAGGAGGACAGAGAGCATAGCAGTCTGCTGGTCATATCCCTAACAAGATATGTGGGGGATAAAGTGGCACTGGGAGGGCCTGCTGAAATAGGAATCCTGAATTTTCAGCCTTAGACTTTTGTCCCCTTCCCTTCTCACTGGCACTCCCCACCTTAACCCAGCCACACAGCCCTTCTATGTCAGCTTGCTGCTGCCCCAAATAACCCTCCTGTTTCCCCTTACAGCCATATGGCAGAAGTATTTGTCCATGTGCTGTTACCACATCAACTGGCAGGGAGCAGACGTGTATTTTCCTATAGCACATGGATATGGGGAGCAAGGGACTCCTGACCCCCTGTCCTTGTGTCCTTCTTTGCACCACACAGCTTAAACACCGCTTGTTTGCTCCCATAGGACTTTATTTTGACTCTGTTCAGAGGGTCACTGACACCCCCTTTCTGCAGGACCTCGCTGAAAATACATCCATCACCTCTGCATTTTAAATTTACCATTCTGGCTAGAGTCCCACCAGAAGACAAGTGGCAAGGAGCCACAGGAGTGGGGACCCATCCTAAACCTGCCTGGCACACTGCCCATCACCTTGAGGCAGAGGCAAGGCATCTCCTTGCTGGCAATGAGCTAGAAACCTCTTTTTTAGGTGATATCCATGAATCAGCATCCTGCTGCCTCCGGTCACTGTCATCAGGAGGGAACAAGGAGCCCCGGATGTCCTCAAAACCTCTCTGAGGAGGTTCCGGTGGGGAACTCTCTCGGATTAGGGAATCCTTTATCTCTGGCTTATATAAGTCCCCGGGTCTCCTTTTATGGTTGGCTTTTCCTGCTTTGTCAAGAGCGGAGAACAAATGTGGTTTCATCTGCGCTTGTGGGTTGGCTAACTGATTAAGCATCTGATTCAAGCTAAGTACGGAACAGGCTTTTGATGGGCGGATTTAATTCGGTGTAAAAACCAGGATGCCATCCCCCTCCCTGACCGAATATTCCCGAGATAGAGGTCGGTCTGCTGCAATTAAGCACTGGGGATGACTCCCACCCACCAGTGGGTTAGAAAGTCCAGAGTGCCCCAATTTGCCCTGAAGTGTCTCCTTTGAGTGCTTCCCCCTCACCTTCCCCCCTCCTCTTTTTTTTTTTCCTTTCTCTCTCTCGCTCTCTTTTTTTTTTTTTTTTCTTTTCCCTGCTGAATTTCCACCGTTTCCAAGCGTGTGCAATAGGAGTGAGCAGCTCTGTGTGTGTGTGTGTGTGTGTGCACGTGAGGGCGTGCGGGGGCCCCGTGGGCATCTGGCTTGGGGTGACACACTGAATCCCTCCTCATCTCCCCCCTGCGAGCCCTGCCAGGGGAAGCATGCTAATGATGACCTTGCTGAGTAAATAGTTGTGGAATGAATAAGTGTTTTTCCTGCAATCCGAAAGGCGGAAGGTGCGATTACTCATCCATCTCTCCAACTGTCTCCAGCACCTTTCAAGTGCATCTCGCGTCGAGTCTGGGGGCGTACGCGAGGGGGTGGGAAGCGAGGGGAGGCTGCCAAGATCTGGGTTGCCACAGACACCGGCCTCGCTTCTCCTCCAATGAACGCTGTGCCGAGAGTGCGGGAGGAGGCAGGGCACCACCCACATGTTGAGCTGTGCGGGGTATAAGTAGATGGAAGTGCCTGGACTAGTGGCAGTTCAGACAGGGAAGAGAAGCAGCTCTTTGCATCTCTAGTGAAAGCGCTTTTGACTCGCCAAGTTTACCGGAGAAGAAATCATCAGGATTTCTTTTTTTTTTTTTTTTTTTCTTTCTTCCTTTCTTTTGCGGCAGCTTCCAGCCTCTGTGTGCATCGCTGTGTGTTTCAACTGAGCGGGGACTCTTCGTCGTTCGAGATTCTCAGCTCCGGACGAGCAGGTAGCAGGCACGCGTTTGGGGCTGGACATCTTAGCCAACTCCTCTCCTCGTTCCTGGAAGATCCTGGTTCTCTCTGGGACACCCTGAGTACGTGAGACAGGCGTTTCCAGCAAGGCACTGGGAGAAATTTGCCTACAACTCTCCTGAGATCCACGGGGACCGAACAGCTCACTCTGCGGTGATATCTGATTTGGTTGTGTTTGTGTCGAAAAGTCCTTTGAGGGGGGTTTAAAAGTCTCTGTGTGTCTTTTGGGAAGTGTTGCGGTGGGGGTTTTGAGAGCAGGCTCTAGTGCCGGGGCTTAAAACCCAGTTTTTTTCTGTGTTTGACACTTGTACGGTAGGAGCAATGCAGCTGGATAATGTCACCAACGCTGGCATCCACTCCTTCCAGGGGCACCGTGGAGTGGCCAACAAGCCCAATGTGATCCTACAGATAGGGAAATGCAGGGCGGAAATGTTGGAGCACGTCAGGAGGACCCACCGGCACCTCCTGTCTGAGGTCTCCAAGCAGGTGGAGCGCGAGCTGAAGGGCTTGCAGAAATCGGTGGGGAAGTTAGAGAACAACTTAGAGGACCATGTCCCAACCGATAACCAGAGATGGAAGAAGTCCATCAAGGCCTGCCTGGCCAGGTGCCAGGAGACCATTGCCCATCTGGAGAGATGGGTCAAGAGAGAGATGAATGTTTGGAAGGAGGTCTTTTTCCGCCTGGAGAAGTGGGCAGACCGTCTGGAGTCCATGGGGGGCAAATATTGCCCTGGGGAACATGGCAAGCAGACTGTGTCCGTTGGGGTGGGAGGCCCAGAGATAAGGCCCAGCGAGGGGGAGATTTATGATTATGCCCTTGATATGAGCCAAATGTATGCGCTGACCCCTCCTCCTGGGGAGGTGCCCAGCATCCCCCAGGGCCACGATTCCTACCAGTGGGTCTCTGTGTCGGAGGATGCTCCAGCCTCCCCAGTGGAGACCCAGGTCTTTGAGGATCCCCGGGAGTTTTTGAGCCACTTGGAGGAATACTTAAAGCAGGTGGGTGGGACAGAGGAGTACTGGCTGTCTCAGATCCAGAACCACATGAACGGCCCAGCTAAAAAGTGGTGGGAATACAAGCAGGACTCCGTCAAGAACTGGGTTGAGTTCAAGAAGGAGTTCCTGCAGTACAGCGAGGGGACTCTGACTAGGGATGCTATCAAAAGGGAGCTGGATCTACCCCAGAAAGAGGGGGAGCCCCTTGACCAGTTCCTCTGGCGCAAGAGAGACTTGTACCAGACCCTGTATGTTGATGCCGATGAGGAGGAGATTATCCAGTATGTGGTAGGCACCCTCCAGCCCAAACTGAAGCGCTTCTTGAGTTACCCCTTGCCCAAGACTTTAGAGCAGCTGATCCAAAGAGGGAAGGAAGTCCAAGGCAACATGGACCACTCTGATGAGCCCAGTCCACAGAGGACCCCCGAAATTCAATCAGGGGACTCTGTGGAGAGCATGCCTCCCTCAACCACCGCCAGCCCTGTGCCGAGCAATGGGACACAACCCGAGCCCCCTAGCCCTCCAGCTACTGTCATATGAGTTAGTCCCACAGATGATGGCAATCTGGGTTATGTGAACGGGAGAAGGGGGCGAATTTAGGAAGCTTCTCCTCGGAGAGAGGTTCCGGCTGAGCCGCGACACGAGGTGTGCTCAGTCCAACAGCCCATAGCAAAGGAATCAACTTTGCTCGTGGGGGGAGGGAGGCGAAGGGGGAGAGGCAACCTTAGGATGTGGTTGCCCACCTCACCCGAGCCACGCCATACGGTGGTGCCGGGGATGCTGCTTGCACCACTGTGGGGGACGGACAATTTTATAAGACCCATGACAAGAAACCAGAGACAATTCCCAACTTCAGAAGCAGCCGCTTGGCACTGGCGGCTTTCAAGGACTTCTGACAAGTGCAGCTATTGGCTGAGGGTTCCTACCCGTCTGGATCTCTCCTCCTTCTCCCCTCCCTCTCATAAAGAGGTTCTGAGAGGACATCTTTCTTCTGACCCTTGCCCATTTCTAATTTACCACTGGGCTTCTGTTTACTTGGCAGTCTCCTCTTCTGTCTTGCTTTAAAGGATAAAAGATTTTTATTTGTTTATTTTGTTTAATTAAGAGGAAATCCTGTGACTTCAGGAAATGAAAACCTTAAGAATCTGGGCAATGTTTAGTGTTTTTAATTTCAGTGCACCCAATACCTGCTTTAATGTTTTTCCTCCCAAGAGGCTGGTTTACTCCTTATCTTAGTTTTTGCTCACTCCAATCAAGGCCACTGCAGTGCAGTAGCAAATTTCACCCTTTCTCTGCACATTACACTGTGCATTCAGCAGTAAACAGAGTTTCAAATTAAATTCTGGGTTATTTTATTGAAGGGAGAATGAGTCTCACTTTCAGAGAAGGGAGGGTGTCAGGGTGAAGAAAGCAAGCAACACAGCTATTTTGTGAGGGTGGGGAGGAGTTAGAGGAAACAAATCCTTATACTTTGAATGAAACAAACAAACACAGCCAAAATTCAGAGCAAAATATTCCCAGAGCAGCAAATCATGTCCATGCTGATACATGGAGACAACAGGAACTTTTGCCATATAAAAGCAAATCAACGTGAAGAGAGGAGCTGTGTGTCCCAGCACAGCCTCAGCCTGTGCATCACGAAGAAGAATTTCTGCTTTCACAGACAGACTGAAATGCTCTTGGAAAGCCTGGCACCTCTGTCATCTGAGGACAAAGAGTTGCCTGTTCACACAGAACTCCCTACAACAGCCCCTTTGCCATGGATGGAGATGGACTTGGACTCGGTGACATTTTCCATGGTGAGACAGCAATGCTCAGCACTTGCCTTGCTTTGACCGAGGCTTGATGATAGGACTTTGAGAAGAAATTGCTGTAAGATGCAGGAAGTCTGGCTCTTCAAAACCTCTCGAGGCTGGACACATCTTGAACATCATCTGCATTCACCACCAGACCAAATAAGCAACACCTCTGCAAGATGTACAGCAGGGATGCAGTGACAGGAGTGTCCCTGGGATGTCCCTGGCACTACAACAGCAGCAATGTGTGACACCGGCGGCTTGGAAGGCCTTTGGCATGCCTCCTTCCAAGAGGCTGAAGGTAAGACAACTTTCTGACATTGTCCTATCTGCACTCCTCAGGCCTAAATTAGCCTTAGCCTGGCCTGTAGGATGCTTGCACTGGGGTAAATGGGATATGAGCACTGTAACTGGCAAACTAGGGTATGAAGGAAAAAAGGGAAGGACAATCAAAGGGAAATAAAAGACAGTGAATACAAAAATTTTCCAAACAGGACAGCATCTTACACTTTCTAATTAATATAGGGAGGGAGTGGGAAGGAACTGGACCATGAAGCCATGGGCTTGAGTGCCCAGCAGTGACAACACATCACAGGGCTATGCACAGCCCAAAGGAGATGCACCTCTGCTCTCCATCCTTGCCTAGAAGTGAGTCAGTGTCAGGAGGAGTGAGGGCTCTCCCCTCACTTGCTCAGAGTGAGTTAGCTTGCAGTGGCTGTGTCTGCAGAAAGAAGGGAGCCTGACCTGGGAATGAGTGGTGGAGGAGTGGGTGTCAGTGCTGAGGATGAGCTGGCCGTGCATTACAAGCATTATCTTCTCTTGATTACAGTGACTCACTCAGAGCCTCCTCTGAGAAGAAATCACTTCACGGTGCTCAGGTCTCGGAAGGAAAGCCAAAGAGAAAAGACTTCAAAACCAAGAATTCAACAGGGGACCTGCTGCCAGGATCCCCAGCTGCCGAGTGCCGGATCCTCTGCCTGAATGAAAGCCTGGCACAGGTAATTATCTCCCATCCTACCCGAGAGCCTTTTTTAACCTCCCCAGTGTCCTCAGGCAAGATATGAGATAACCCAGGTGCAAATCAGGGCTGGTCTTGGGACCTCAGGCCAAATGGCTGCAGGGGGCTGGCACCATCAGATAGGTGGGATTTCAGCTTAATGTGGGAACAGAAGCACCAGCCCCAGTGATTCAAGTTCTGGGGACAGAGTGTCCTGTTTTTCTTCCTGCTGGACCTCTGGCAATGCTTAGACACCTGTTTAGAGGCCCAGGCACCTGGTGGCCACACCAACTGAATATTAATCTATATCTTGAAAAATCCCCTATATTCTCTGTAAAACTTATTTGGAGACTTTGGAAATCTAACCTCAGCTGCTCTATTTTTTTTTTTTTTCTCTAACAGAGATTCCTGCTGCTGTTGCTGAGTTTCCTCCTCTGTGCCCAAGACACCTACTTTCCCAGGGGAGAAGCAAACACTTCTGGAAGACAAGAAGGCAAAATGTGCACCAAAGAGCCAACCATGCCGTGCAATGCTGTATTCAAGATGCTGAGAGCCAGAATGAAAGAGGGAGCCAGTTCCAACAGGGTGAAGAAAAGGCTGAGCTGGTCCAACTGGTCCAAGAGCAGAAGAAAGTGCTGAGAATGAAAAGAGAAACCAAGAGAAAAGATAAACCAAGAGAACCAGGTCTGGGCTTTGGGGACAGCAAGGATGCTGGACTTGTACCGACTGTCTGTTGAGATGATGCCATACCTCTGCAGTCTGGGGCCACTGGGACTCATCTAAAGAAATCTTCACTAGATTACCAGATTAAAACACGAAAACTTTCCTGATTAACTTTGCCAAATGACTGACCCTCCCTAGGCTACGAACCCTCCATGCTGTTAAGGCTGTAACTCATTTTTCCTGAGTCGAGGGTCGCTTCATTTCATGCGGGTATCAGTTTTCAAACCTCAAACAGCTCTGGAGGTTCGGAGAAGCATCCTGGGGTCCAGATGCTTGTCTGAACTACTTGAGCCTGCACAACTGGGCCAGCTGTCTTGCCAAAAGGGACACTTGTGAGACAGCAGGCGCTTCCTGGATCTGCATGGGCCAGAGTTACTGCAAGAAGCTGATGCTCTTGTGGTGGCTTTGGTGTGACTGCTTCCATACAGACCCAGGGAGCAAAAAAAAGGTGCATGAGAGACAACAGCTCGAGTGAGTTGAACCAAGCCTTTTTGCAAGACAGTTTTGGTTCACATCTCATTTGAAGGGATCCCGTTGGTTCCTCTCTCTTCCAGAGCCAAGGGTCCCGGGTATGTGTGTGCGCGTCAGTGCGGGTGTGCATGTGTCGAGTGATCAGATCCACTTAACCAAATTCTGCGGAGTTTTGTTGTGTTTGAACCAAGCCAATGGGATATCATGCACATTCCAACATTGCTCAGCCAAAAATGTCCAGGACCAGAAAATTATGTGAAACCATGTAAAGCAGACTTCATAGGTGTCATCCCAAGGTCAAAATGAAGTTTGATTTTGAGGTGCTTAATTTCCACAGTCCCTCTCCAGGGACCTGACTGCCTCAATGGGTATTTTCAATGTCCATAGACTTTCCTGCCTTTTCTATGAGTTATCCTGCCTGAACTACTTGATTATATGGTCCTGAGCTTTGTACATTTTCCACTGACTTTGTGGAGTGTGCACAACTGAACACCCTTGGCTGGTTTTATTTCAGTTAGTTGCTCCTAGCTGATTGGAGCTTTACTTGTAGCACCCTGGTTTATATTACCAGCTTCTCCAGGAAGGACTGGTAGTTTGTTTTCCTGGGGTAGAGTCACGTGAATGAAGAAGTGTGTATGTGCTGTGTCTGTGAAACTTTAGAAGATTTCAATCACTGGAGATTTTTTTTTCCTTAGGTAATTTTACATTTGACTCTGACAGAACTACATTAGAGTTTTTATTTTTACTAGAAATATTAATAATTCAAACAACCTTGTACAAAAGGCAAACTCATTGAATCACTACAGGTTATAGGGGTTGAAGCCAAAAGGTCTTTGTAAGCCGACATCACTTGCCCTAGATCTGACTGTATCAGGCAGTTATTCCTCATGTGTCATGTTGGAGTTACAAGATCACACCAAGCCACTAGAACCTGTCAGTAGAATAGTGCTACACTTTATTTGCTATTGTAGCAAAGCCTTTTGTAGATTTATACAATAAAACTTTGAAATATCTGCTTAAATTGCTTTGTGCCTTGCTTTTTGGTCTTTCTGTCTTGGTTCATGGGGGACTCAAGTATCTATAGCACTCTGAAGATGTATTCTTCTCAGTTGTTTGGGCTTCTTTGAGTCATAAAATCTCACTTCTCAGCAAAAGCAGATGACTAATATCAGAATGAAAAGCACTGGGCCTTTGGAGAGGAGGGTTTGGATGTGGACATGGAGGTGTTTTAAGAGGGGTTGTTTAGCCTCTCAGATTAAGCCAGGTGGTGGCCCAGGAGGCTGGGAGACACAGGACTGGATTGTTCAGGGCTTTTTGGGTACAGCTAAGAGAAAGTCAAATAAAACATAGAGCAATCACATTCATACCCATGCCTGAGAGGTAATTTGCACGGATGAGCAGGTTGGGGCAAGGTAAAGAAATTGCTAGGCCTGAATCAGCTCTACCTGATATCCAAAGGGACCTTTGCAGTCATAAGAGCCAGCACTCATCAGCACAGACATGCTGGAGCTGTTATCAGGCTAAGCGTTTTGCTGCATGATGTATTCCCCTACAGCAGGGATATTTTCAATTGCTTGGGTTCTTTACCTATAACATACCTCCAGGTCATCAGGACTAGGGGAAGGGAACTTGGCAGGGGAGATAGCTCAGAGAGTTTTGAACTGAACTGAGTATTTCTGCAATGTGCTGGGCTCAAAGATCTGACCCCAAAGACCTTCATGGGGTACATAACTCTATCTCTGCACATCCCTTCTCTTCTGAAAACATTTTGCTAGTGAACGTTTTGCATTTTTCAGGTGAATTTATCCCCCACTCCCTGCTCTGCCCCTGGTCTCCCCCCAGCAAGAAGGACTCTAGGATTAACAATGTGGGGTGCGTGTTGCAGCTGGTAGCATGCACTTGGGTTGTTCATCAGGAGAAACAAACAGACTCATTTATTTCACAACAGGCACTAAAACGTGCACTGCCAAATGCACCTCCCAGGCATTCCTTTTGCTCTCAGGTTGGAAAGGCAGGACATGGTCCAGTGGCCAAGGATGCGTATAAGCCAGCTTCAAACCCTTGTGTCTTCAGGTCATTCAACCACAAACTCAAGTGTGACAAAGTTTAAAGATGTAATCTGAATACGCAGCTGAATCTCCACCCTGGTGCCCTCAGCTTCTGTCAATGGCAAAGAGGTGAAAAACCATTGAGGAGTCAAACTAGGAACATGAAAGCAGACAGAGTCATTCCACACTGGGCAAGTATAGAAGAACACTGGACAGGAGAACACGGTTAGACTTTGCATGGTCTATGGACATGGCCAAAGGGCTGGATCTCCTTCAAGGACCAACCCCCTGTCTGGCAGAGCGAAAATCAGGAGCAACTCAGCTGGAGGTGCTGAGCTCTTCCAGCAGAGGGGGGCAGAACTCCACTCTACACTGTGGGAATTAAAATTAAAAACCTCTATAAAAGAGAAAAATCATCCTCATCATTGTTCATCCCTGCACTGCACACTCCCACAGCTTCAGCAATGCAAGATACGTGGTTGCTTTGCTGGAGGAGGTCTAAGGGCAAGGAGAAACAGAGCAATGAGGGACAACAGGAGGAGGCGTGGAGGACTGATGGTCAAGTTGAAGTGGAGCAAGATGGGTGGGATGAGCATACCATGCTAAGGGAGGTGGGCAAGGTAGATGAGCCTGGGGAACACCTGACAGTGTCAGATGAACTCAGAAGCTTTCCAGTTTTGCTGCAGAATCCTTCTGGATTTTTTTTTTTCTTTTTATTTTTTTTTCCCTGACAGCTCCAGCTTAAAATCCCTAGAGATTCACTGGACCTACAGCCTTCTTTTAGCAAAGAAATGCCTTATTAGTACTCCTAACTCCATCAGTAGGGAGTCACCTGGGACACATATAGCCCAGCAATGGATGAACTGCTTCAAACTAATGGAAAACCCTCTCCAAAATCCAGGTGGGAACCATCCCTGTGTTTACTGGGGCACAAACCAAAATGCAGAGCTATTCAGAAATGTTCTTCCACTCGTGCAGAAGGAATGTGGGATCAGACACATAAAGAATTGATAAAAAGTCATTAATTCATTCTTGATAGTCCCTTCCCTTCCCTTCCCTTCCCTTCCCTTCCCTTCCCTTCCCTTCCCTTCCCTTCCCTTCCCTTCCCTTCCCTTCCCTTCCCTTCCCTTCCCTTCCCTTCCCTTCCCTTCCCTTCCCTTCCCTTCCCTTCCCTTCCCTTCCCTTCCCTTCCCTTCCCTTCCCTTCCCTTCCCTTCCCTTCCCTTCCCTTCCCTTCCCTTCCCTTCCCTTCTTTATCATAGCTATGAGTCCCTTAATTTGCTTATTCAGAGCAATTAAAAATCTGGTGAAATTTACTTTCTCAGAGCATGACATTCACATATGTAATAAGTGTTCCCCCTTTTTTTTTCCCTTTCACTCTTTTTTTTTTTAATTATTTTATTTTTTTTTTTTTTTTAAATCAAAGTGATTGCACTGGTCAGTCATGTAAATCATATTTATTGACTCCTCAGGCAGGCGTGTGTTTATGAATAGCCTAACTGCTCCCCTGGAGCCACTCTTTCCAGCAAAGCAATGTGTAATTAGGGAGGCTGTGAAACTTTCCTTATTGACACAATCAGCTCTAATGGCTCCACTTACCGTGTCAATACGATGCTCTGGTGAGCTCTGGACGCTCACTCTGACCATGCAGCTGGATGTTATCTTAGCCCTATTCCCACAGATACTACAGGTAGGCATTGGAGGCAGGTGACACGCTTTTTACAGCCAATATCTAATCACTAAAAATAGAAAGGAGGTTTGCTAGGTGCAAAATGGTGCTAATTTCGGCAAACTGCTTTAGCTGAAAAAGTGCAGGTGATAATTTTCTAAGGGACAACCATTTTCATTACTTTTTAGGCTACATTTCTGAACTGATCGTGTGGTGTCAATGCGTGTTTCCACCTTTCTCCCTTGCAAACTTAATAACTTTTAACCTGCTAGCTGCATCACTCACAGAGGCTTCCAAAATCGCTAAATGCCTGTATGCTTTTGATAGGGAGTTGCTGAGCAGAGGACAGTTGTTCCATTGTTCCTGCATAGGCACAGACAGAATGTGATCATCTAACACTACTTGTAAAAGTATTCAAACAAAAGCCGTAAGCCCACAGAAAATCAGACTTTATTTAGTCCTGAAGCTTACAGAACCACTTGCCGGTATTTACTGCATGGGATTTATTTCATTTTTTTGTTTTGTTTTGTTTTTTCCTAAAGGAATAATATCATGACATTTAAAAAAAATAACGTGTTTGACTTTTTGTTTCTAAACAGCTCTACTTATAAACTGACTTCAAATTGAAAAACAAACAACAACAACAGAGAAAGGTAAGAAAACTCAAAGACAACAAAATAAAATTTTTCATGACTCAGACTCTTCTTTTTTTCAGCTCCAGTTTGATCCATTAAGTCCTTAGAAGGATTTCTCTTCTGACTTCAACTCACCCCATTTTGTGCAGTCCTGATCTGACCACTGAATTTACAAGGCCTCCATTATTTCTCTCTGCAAATAATATGTTCCATGTGCTTCTACATGTATGTTTTACTCTTCAGTGAGGCAGGATTTTCTGAACACTGTAGGAAGAGTAGGAATCCCTTCCTTAACCAAAATGAGGTCCTTTTCCCAAAAAGGTTGAGGAAAAATTCCTCTTTGTAACCAGGATTACAGAGCCCATAACACACACACACAAAGGCTTAGAAACACAAAAGCTTAGAAGTGGAGGGTCTGAACTACTACAGGCTTTGACACCAGCACAAGCCAAGATTGTTACTTTAAGGCTGAGCTCAGCTTGGACAGTGATATATATCAGTGCAATCCTTCAAGTGGTTTGTGTTGGTGTTCACTTATAGCTTGCTCAGGAGTTAAGAGTCCATTTGAGATCATTTCAAAGCAGAAACAGAAGGAACAAGAACAACAGGAATTGGTGAGAGGCTCTGGGTGGTGAGACTGAACACGTTGTGATGTTTAAGGAGATGTAGACTAAGAAGATTGTGCTTGGGATTTTCATATCCCACCTTCTTAGGATCCCATCTATGCCCTACACATGTACCTCATGTACTCAACTCCCTCCAGGTATTCCCACCACCCATGTTGTGGCTAAGGAGAATGTGACAACAGCACAAAAGAGACCTCAATGAAGTCAGGCACAGTAGATACCAAAAAGGCCTTCTTTTTCACCTTGGTTATTCAGGTACTCACTTCTTGCCTGAAAATCTGCTAAGATCTGAGTTCACCCCAAGGACTGCCCTGTGTCTAGGCACTTTTTGGGGTTAGCAGTGGTTAGAACACCAGTATAACTTTGGCCAGCAACACCCAAGGTCTTGAAGACTATTAACACAATTCATTTGACGTGGTAGCTGGTGAGTATTACCTACATAATAAGCTTCTTCCCAACCACAGAGACAAGGTGTAGCTTTAACACAAGCCTGGAGAAAGATCTAACCCTTGTGTGATGTCATGGGATGACCTATGACTACCCATGCAGACATCATCATGGTGGGTAGGACTTGGCAGGCCTCAAGGTCTCACGTATATCCAGTTTGTTTATGTGTTCCATAACATGGTTCTCCTCCAAGAACAGATCCATATTCAAGCTATTTAGGCATTGAATGACATTCTCCAAACAGTGAAAGACCAGTAGCTGTGTTTTCACGATCTACATGCCTATCAGTACCAGTGCCACTAGTATGGGGTATGATGTCCTTCTGGTTTTCCATGGGGAGTCAGATGTATAGAGTGGAGGAAGGGATTTATGAAATGATAAAGTGTAAAGGAGGGTAGAGGCAGAAAAAAATTGGCTGCAGACACCTTTTATTCCTGTAGGTCCCTTATTGAGATACCATATGCATTGCACACATCCACCATGTAAATCTTTCTCATTATATAGGTAGGGAAACTGAGGTATGAAGAGGAATATTTGTCAGTTTTAGAAACAGACAACAGTGTAGGATTTCCCAGGATAGTATCTCCATTACTACTC